ACAAATGTTAAGAACCAGAGTGATAAAGTTCACGTCCACCAACTGTAACATACAGTTAATAGTTCAGTATTTCCAAACTTCCTTAAAGCTCTTAATCAACTGTGAGAGCCAAACTAGCTCCATTTTGTTGTTTAGAGCACAAGCCCCATTCGTAGCTGTTTACCACATAGCCCTTCCGCCCCAACCTCTGCCAGTGAAACCTGCAGGGCCACTCCCTGATGCCTTCCCCCACCCCAGGTTGCACAGCCACTGTGCTGAAAACTGAGTCACCTTAGGCAAATAGTTGCTATAATAAACAATAAGTTTCTATTACCTTGAAATACAGGTAACCAGGTTACACCAACTCTAGCCCCCGGTTAAGGGACCCTCCACCCCTCACCTGTACCAATCCAAATTCACCTCTACTAGTGAAATCATCAGCTACCAATGCAAATCCTCCTTTACTTCCCCCTTTCCTAATGAAATCACCAACCACCAATGAAAAGTGTACTCGTATCTGACCCTACCCCTCTTGCTTTCTGTACCCCACCCTGGGTTCGGGGCTCGTCCTTGGCTTGCATGCCAGGAGAGTCCAGGCTTCCCGGGGCCTGAATAAACTTACCTCTTACATCGGAGTGTGTCTCGGATTCATCTGTTTGGGCTGTTTGGGAGAATAATTTTTCGGCCCTAACACAACAATTAGGGGTCCACAAGAGTTGCATTCCCCTCTCCCTGAACTGTTAAGTCCTCAAATTTATCTCTTTGCAGTTGTACCCTTACCTTATCTCTTTATGATTTGCTATAATTGAGATTTTCTGACAAAGAAAAGTAAAATTGGGGTTGCATCTATGAATGTACTTGTAAATGACCAAAAAAGAAGGTACCCGCCACTGCTGATGCCAGGACTTTTAAATAATTCATTGCACTTTGCCTAGGAGGAAATTCTTCACAATGAATCGATCTCTTGCCATTTTAAATAAATCTCATATAGTGTGCTAAAAATCAGAGACAACATCTTTTATGAAATTTTACTTTTTCCACATAAACATGTTAGTATCAATAAACTAAATATGGTTTTAAATTTCAATAATAAAAATGAGAGCACATAATGATAAATTGATTCAAACTCCTATGATATCCGTGATTTAGCACTCTTTGTATCTATAAACACCGAAGCACAATATTCTCATAACTTCCAATAGGTAAATCTTAATGACTTGCTGGGGGCCTGTGAAGGAGGTTGAGAAAACACTGCACACAGCATGCCTGGTGATGACAGGAATCATAGTGCCAAATAAGTGATCTAATGTGTACATAGGGATTAGAAATTTACACCCTGATCACCCCCAGTACCTCGGTTCCCCTCTGAAATGTTTTGAGCCCAAGTCTCTGGGCTGGCTTTGCTGCTTTGCTTAACAATCCATTTCATTAGCACCTTAGGACTGATATGGAAGCTTAGATTCTACATAAATCTAAATTAATCCCTAACAGTAATCCCCAGCTGGTTGATATACAATGCAGCAGTTTCTGTAATAAATTTTATAAGTATTTGGAAGCCACACAAATCCTGGTCTACCTGCCTGCTAACCTTTCTCTATTACAAAAGTTTTTTTACAAATTTACTTTTGAAATAAAAATCCACTGCTACTTTGGATCAAGTTTATGCAGGAAGCTGGAAACCACTGGCAGTCTGTGGATCCACTCCCATGCAGCCCCAGAAAGGAAGATGGTCTCTGGCTCCGTCAGCTCTGTGCTTACATGTCCACTTCCCCCGTTTTCACCGAGATCTGTGCTCTATCCTCTATCCTTCCTTGGATGGGAAGATATTCCCATCACTTATTCACACCGAATTACAAATGATCGACATGTAATTTGAATTTTAACCCAAGATTTACCATTTAACAAAAGGAATGGAATTGTAATGATGGAATTTCAGGCGTTCTGTTCAGGGAAGTGTCCTTTCTAAATCACACTTCACGTGGTGTATACAAAATACAGGTTCCTTTAACTATAAGGGAGAAGTGAGAATTTGGTCTTTCATCCCATTATGCTTTTTCCTCCAAATCTATGCTTTGATTCCGTTGCTAATTAGGTCACTTGGGGAAGTGCTTATGACCACTTGCTACGTGCATTTCCCATGCTGCTCTAAGGCTGTGGAGTTGTGAATGGTGATGGAGCAATTCTTGAGCCAGGTCTCACCCTCACATTTGAAATCATCCCGTCTTTGGGTCAGTGAGTTCAGCAGTCGGCCAGTCAGTAGGCAGTTATTAAGTGCCCTCTATGAGACAAATGTACAACCAAGGCTTTCCTACCTCTGGCCATAATATTTACGGATAGCATATTTAGATTTAAAATGAACATACTGGCTTTGTAGCTACATATTTAGATTTAAAGTGAACATACTTGCTTTGTAGCTATGTCCTCTTCTGTAGGACCTGAGACTGCAGTTTTCTCCTATGCATTAAGCCAAATATCATCAATGCACATATTTGCTCTCTCTCTCTCTTCCACTGTTCAGTCCTCTTGCAGTCTTTGTGTGTGTGTGTGTGTGTGTACATGAATGTGAGAATTACAGCTCTTTTTATACCTTTAGTATCACTTTGCTAAAAGATTTTTATTATCTTTCATCTTTATCTTTCACCATTTTGTTAAAAGATTAATCATAACTTTCAGATCAGAATAATTTGATAAACTCAGTAATTCAATCTGCTGCATTAAATTAGAAGTTTCTGCTCTTGCTGAATATTCACTTGAATTATCTTTTTGCAAAACAGAACGTATTCAGGCTCTG